ATATGCTACCCATGTACAAGAAAGAAGAAGAAAACATAAACATGATAAGAAGACAGACTGATGACAAAAAAAAAAGATCTGGATGGGACAAATACAGATTAATAATGCAGTATCTGAAATGAAAAATACTGGATGAGAATAATAGCTGATCAGATACTGCAGGAAAAAAAGATAAGTGAGGTCGAAGGCAGAGCAGTAGAAACTATCTACAAGGAAGCATAGAGAGAAAAAAGACTGAAAAAATTAAGAGAGCTTAGTGACTTGTGGGCTGTATATGTATAATCCAAGTGGATGACATCTGTATAATTAAAGTGTCAAGGAAATGATGTGAGGGGTGGGGAGAAAATATTTGAAGAATCATGAATAAAAATGTTTTAACTTTGATGAAAACTATATATTGACAGATTCAAGGAGCTCAACAAACACCAAGCAGAATAAACATTAAGAAAACCATAAGAAGACACATTATAATCAAGTTGTTCAAAATCAGTGTAAAAAGAAAATCTTAAAAAGCAGCCAGAGGAAAAGGGACACATCACATACTTGGAAACAAAAATGACCATAGCAGCGGATTTCTTATTACAAACTGGAATCTGGAAGACAATGGAGCAATGTCTTTAAGGCAATGAATGAAAAACTGTCAATCTTGGATTTAATGCTCAGCAAAAACGATACACAACAATATAAAAGTCATTAGAAACAACAAATACCCACCATTTGCTTTGACGTGGATGGAACTGGAGGGTATTATGCTGAGTGAAATAAGCCAATCAGAGAAGGACAAACATTATACGGTCTCATTCATTTAGGGAATATAAAGAATAGTGAAAGGGAATAAAGGGGAAAGAAGAGAAAATGAGTGGGAAATATCAGTGAGGGAGATAGAACATGAGAGACTCCTAACTCTGGGAAACGAACAAGGGGAGGTGGGTGGGGGGTTGGTGTGACTGAATGATGGGCACTGAGGGGGGCACTTGGTGGGATGAGCACTGGGTGTTATGCTATATGTTGGCAAATTGAACTCCAATAAAAATTAACAAATGAATGAATAAATAAATAAATAAATAAATCTATAAAAATAAAGACAGTGAAAGCAATATAAAAATAAGAGTGAAATGAAAACTTTTCAAACAAACAAAGGTGAGAGAATTCATTGCTAGAAGCTCTTCATTATAAGAAATATTAATAGAAGTTTTGTAGGTAGGATAACCACTTGAGAAAAGGATCTACTTAAATGACCAAAGGGTGCCAGAAATGGTAAATACGTGCATAATTTTTTTAAATGATGATTGACTGTCTAGAGCAAAAGTAATCACAGTGTATTGTGAGGTTCATAACCCATGTTGAAGCAAAATGTATGAAAGTGGCACAAAGAAGGAAGAAATGGAAGTATACTGTTGTTAGATTCATTTACTATACTTAAAGTGGAATAATATTGGGGCGCCTGGGTGGCTCAGTCGGTTAAGCGTCTGCCTTCACCTCCAGTCATGATCCCAGGGTCCTGGGTCAAGTCCCACATCAGGCTCCCGATCAGCTCCTTCCTCTCTCTCTGCCCCTCCCCTGGCTCTTGCTCTCTCCCCTCTCATTCACTCTCTCTCTCAAATGAATAAATAAAATCTTTTTTTTAAAGTAGAATAATATTATTTGAAGTTAGACCGTTGTACATTAAAAAGTATAATACATACCCTTTAGAGCACCAAAATATGTTACACAGATCAAGTCTTGGTAAACAAAACAAAACAAAAACAACAGCACAACCAGAAAACAAAAAAACTCCAAAGAGCTATTTCAATAATTTTATCATTCTTAAATTTGTGTCTTTCAATTCTGGCTTTAATTAGCTATAATGACATTTGTAATTTCAAAATTTAACCTGTCTCTGTAGTTCAACATCTGCTCCTCCTTTATTAAACATTGCCAAGTAACAGCGCAGGAAGTATTTTCAGCAACATGCTGGTCTCAGCAAGCTAAATTTGGTACTGTGGAATTTGTTGGTGAGGATAAACTATGTGAGAATTCCTATGCTTGAAGTAATGCTGGCATCGGGCCACTTCTATTTAAATGATGGCTTTGGAAAAAATGGTGTTTACAAACTGATCCTACCACTTACAAACTGTACTACCTTCTGTTGGGGAAAATACGTAAGGTCCCTGTGACTTGGAGGTCCCATACATTGCACATGGCGGAGAGAAGAATACACACTGCTCTGGAGCCCTTCCTTATTTCCCGTAGAATGAACAGACTTTTGGAAACCGTGATGGAAAACTTGCTTACTTAATAACTAGCCATTCTTGTCAGATGAGTAGAAAATAATACTGAGTGACCTCATTGGTTTTTCCATCAATGTGTCTCCCTATTCGGGACTACACGTGGGTCATATTTGAAACTATGAGCTTAAATCAGGTCTATTACTTAGTGGCTGGATAATCTGATAGTGGCACAACATTGCTAAGTGGTGGTGGATAACTTAAGGAAGGTATATGGTTAATAAGCCCATCTTAAAAAAAAAAAAAGTACATCTAGATAGAGACCTAGGCAGCCTGGCTTGGTAATAAAGAACAAGTAGGGGATTCAGGAGCTCCAAACACTGTCCCAGTTTTGCCATTTGCTAGACCCAAAGCAAGCCCATGTGACCTCCCCAGGCCTTAGTTTCTATCTGGACTAGAGTAATGCTTCCCTAAGTGGAGTGCATACCACTGGTGGCACACCAGATTTTGTTATTAGTGTATTTTAGAAAATATAACCATTTTAGAGACTATAGCTCTATCCAACCATAATTTTATGAGTATTGTTGATGAGGATGAATGAACATATAAAAATCAAGTCAATATAAAGACAAATATTATGTAAACAAGAGTCCAGACAATACTAGGATGGAGAAAAAAAAACTGGAAACATTATCAGTCTAAAACGCTGGGTTTAGAAATATTTGTTTTAAAGCGTTTACAATAGCACATAGTTTGCACATAATAGTGTAAATAAAATAGGAGAAAGATCCTGGTCACAAAACAGTAGAAAGTAGATGTCAGTTCTCTATACTAGGAAATCAATAGATAATGCTAAAATTTTTTTAAAAGCCTAAGTAGAAATATTATAGTTTTTTTTTGAAGATTTTATTTATTTATTTTGAGAGAGAGTGTGTATGAGTGGGGAGGGCTAAAGGGAGAGGGAGAAGCTCAAGCGGACTCCCTGCTGAGTGTAAATCCGGATGCAGAATTTGATCTCATGACCCTGAGATCGTGACCTGAGCTGAAATCAAAAGTCCCATGCTTAACCGACTGACCCAGGCACCTCTGTCAGGGTTTGTTTTTAAAAATAGAGAATTGTGTTCTCATTCATTTGGGGAATATAAATAATAGTGAAAGGGAATATAAGGGAAGGGAGAAGAAATGTGTGGGAAATATCAGAAAGGGAGACAGAACATAAAGACTCCTGACTCTGGGAAAGGAACAAGGGGTATTGGAAGGGGAGGAGGGCGGGGTGTGGGGGTGAATGGGTGACGGGCACTGAGGGGGACACTTGACGGGATGAGCACTGGGTGTTATTCTGTATGTTGGTAAACTGAACACCAATAAAAAATTAATTTATTAAAAAAATAGAGAATTGAAGCTAAATATGAAAACAATAATTTAGAAGCACTAAAAATGTTAACTTCAAGAGGTGGAGTACGATTTTACTTTATTTTTTTTATTTTTTTAAAGATTTTATTATTTTTATCCATGAGAGACACAGAGAGAGGGGGGCAGAGACACAGGCAGAAGGAGAAACAGGCTCCATGCAGGGAGCCCGACATGGGACTCAATCCCGGGACCCCAGGGTCACACCCTGGGCCTAAGGCAGCGCTAAACCACTGAGCTACCAGGGCTGCCCCGATTTTATTTTTTTGTAACAAGTATTGTAGAACTATTTGACCCTTAACTATATACAAAATAGTTTTGGCACGATTTTTAAAATCCATTTAAAAAGTTATAAGAGTATGATGCAAATGACAGTACTTTGGAAAATACTGGTGGGCAAGACTGTAACCTCCCAACAATCTGTGAACTGATTGAGAGAAATCTCCATTGGCATTTGTTTGTTGTCATGACACCCAGGAAGCTCAAGTCACACGCGTTTATTATTTAAGTTATCATGAATTATCTTGGGGACAGTGGTGCAGAAGATTCTAATATGGAGACTTTACAGAATTTTATCACCCATGGCTGGATATATTTGTGACTCCTGAAAAACTTTAAGTACTCATTTATAAAGGTACATGTTTGCCTAATAAATATGACCCCTCATCCCCCCTTCCTTTTTTTTTTTAAAGGATTTTATTTATTTATTCATGAGAGACACAGAGAGAGAGAGAGAGGGGCGGAGACACAGGCAGAGGGAGAAGCAGGCTCCATGCAGGGAGCCCAACGTGGGACTCGATCCCAGGACTCCAGGTTCATGCCCCGAGCTGAAGGCAGACGCTCAACCACTGAGCCACCCAGGTGCCACTCATTTCCCCTCTCCCCTTTTAAGCTACAGATGATTCTGGAATGGCTGGGATCAGGATGCATAGACCACAGCTGGAAGCCTTTATCGATTCCATTTCATGATATTTATTAAATTGGAAATGTGAGACGTGGGTAGGCATCTATCGTTAAATGAGATAAACCATATAAAATACCAGGCACTGAAATGAACATTTCCTACCCTCTCTTCCACCCAACCCCATGGGGAAGAAGATTAACAGGCAATCACTCAAATTGTGATCATTTCTTGGGTTCCTGGAACCTGGAACCAGAGTGATGTTTGGGATGTGAGGAGCTTCTTTCATAAGGCGGAGTCTAGAATTGTATCAGAAGAAAGGAAAAATTAATGGGAAGTGACTTGATCTTACACCCGATCGTTTGGAACATTCCAAAGCCAAGAGAGGCCTTTCTTGTCACACGTGATTTCATGATAATTAGGGCCAGCTGTGCCTGGGCAATTCCGGTCAAGCCAGATGCCAAACCCAACTCAAACACTTGCTGGAAGATCTTCATCGTCAAGAGCCTTCAAACATCCTGTAGAAAATCAAAAGAAGGTAAGTTGTGTTATCTTTTCCCATTTTGCCAAAATGTTTTTCTGAGTCACTGACAACTTCTATGGTGTTCACTTGTGCTTCGTACCTAAAGATAATGCTGCTGCTGATAGATTGTGCGTATATGGAAAAATCCTTAAAGGGGGGCATCATTAACAACTTTTCCACTCTGCTGGGATTTGTTCTTGTATTATTGCCCCTACCCATAAACCAGACAACTCACCCATATTTCTAGCCAGTAGAGATGAACTGTCTCAGAATCTCTCTGAACTAGAGAGGAATTGAGTGACTGAGGAATGGTTTGGAAAGAAGGAGAGTTTTACTATATGCTCCGTTGTAACTTTTGAACTTAAATGAAAAGATGTATGAGAACTTCCTATTCTAAAAAGTAAGCACTATTAAAAAAAACACCTTTTCTTGGGACGCCTGGGTGGCTCAGTGGTTGAGCGTCTGTCTTCCAGTAGGGTTGTGATCCTGGAGTCCTGGGATCGAGTAATAATACTCGCATCAGGCTCACTGCAGGGAGCCTGCCTCTCTCTCTCTCTCTCTCTGTCTCTCAAGAATAAATAAATAAAATCTTTAAAAAACCACACTTTTCTTTTCAGTGGGAGATATATTTGTTTGCTAACTGGCTCACCTTAGGTAGAGAAATTCTAGTTGACACAAACCCTACTTTAGAGACTGGAAACTTCTTTTCTTCCAGGTCACTTCAATTTTATTCTTCCTATCGAACTGTGGATTTCTTAAAGTATTTTGAATTACAGATCCTTTCATCTCATATTTCTTTTACTTCTACTTCAGGACAACTTTTTTTTTTTTTTTTTTTTTTTTTTTTACAGCTATAGCTGAGAGAGCTCCCCAACAAAGCCATACAGTATTTTGCTTCACTAGAAGGAAAGTAGGCTAGGTCCCAAAGCAGTGTTGGGGTTGCTTGGTCTCGTGACCCCCTGCTTACCTCAAGCCAGCCTGCCCTTTCTCTTAGGCCCCTGTTTTCACAGGCCACTTGGTTGCAGCTAGAAAGGAGATGGAGTAAGAGCCATGGCTCTACTGCTATTTGTTATGGTGACCGACTTGGGGCTGAATGGAGAATTCACTGCATTCCTGAAGTTGACTCACTTCCAACCAAAACCCTTGGGTTGGGGTTGGAACTCAGCTCAGGCTTTCCAAAGGGCTGTTCCTGTGAGCTGGCCTTGGATGATCTTATCTGGGCCAGCTCAGGATTGCTCTTCAGCTTGGAGACCTCAGTCTAGCTTGTTTGGTAGGACGTTGATTTAAAAAAAAAAAAATGGCTTAGCTATCTGGAGATGAGAAAGAGAATTCTGAGAAGCATTTTCAGAATTGATCTAGACTCATCTGGGTTCCATGAGCAGTAGAAGCTCCAACAAAGTAACCTCCTCCAGCTGTCCTAGATGTGAGCACATGCAGGAACAGGCTGGTTCCAGAAGTGAAGGGAGCTTGCACTTAATTGGATTCTCTGCTTTAGTTACTGGCAGCCAGACTCCTAGATTCTCTCAAGTTCTGCAGCAAGATTAGTATAGAGATGCAATAATATTGTCCTTGAAGGCGTTTTAACCTTTTTACTGAATAATTCTACGTAGAACTCATACCACTGACTTCTAGGTTTTCCCATTTTGGTGAAACCTATACTCAATTTATAGATCAGTGGTCCCTAAATGAACTATTTGTGTGTAGTGGACATGCAAGGGAACAATGTGGGGGAACAATCAGAAAATATTTGAAGCTAAATTTATTTTTATCCAAAATAAAACAGAAAGCTTTACTAGTATTTAATGAATGGGTTGTCACTGGTCCCTTTTCTTAGTCCACATGTCAGAAGGTCAAGGGTTCTGGATGACAGAGGAGAAAACTTGAAGGAATCTTATAGTTTGGAGAAATTAATAGCATCACCATAATTTATTTGTTTTTAACGTACTGGGACACAGTGCAGTTTATGTGCAACAGGTTGTGTGGATTTGCAGGTTTTATAATCTTTAAAGTCTAGTTTTGATAAAACTAAACCTTATTAAAATAGGCTAATGGCATGAAAATATTTCTGTAATGGAACCAGGGAGTAAAGCTGATATCAAAATACAATCAAGTAAACAAGATTATGGTAGAGCAGACACCTCTCTTATTTATGAGGTTGAAATAAGGTAAAAATAAGGAATCTGTTTCATCACATAATCCCAACTAAAAATACTAGTGAGAGCAGAAATATGATTATTTTATCTTTATCTCATCTTCTTGAAATGTCTATTTTTGTGACTTTTTTGAGCATATATAATATGTTAATGGAATTCTACATGTCTATGTTTTTATAAGTAGATAACCATTTCATGAGCGAGTATGCCCAAACATTTTCTTACTGATGGGATATGCAATCAAATCAATTTGGAGGTCACTGTTAAAGAGAGGCAAACTAAAGCAAAATAATATTCAGTTATTTCTTTGTATCCTGAAAACAAATGAGTCAGAAATAAGTTCTGTCCTTGAGTCCAATCACAGCAAGCCCACCGCTCAGGATCTCTGTGATTCTCGAAAATGCCATCTTCTTAAAATATTATTTCTAATATTGTGTGTGAATTAAACCCATGAGGCTAAAACAATGCTGTGGGAAGAATGAAAGTTCTCAAGTCAGACAGCCCTGGGATGTAGCCCAGGCCCTGTAATTTAGTTGCTCTGTAACCCACATAGTCTTGGTTTCCTTATCTGTCCCCTGGGGGGTAAATGACCTCACAGAGTTGGGAGGATTACACGAATTAATAAATACACAGTCTCTGGCATATGGTAGCCTTCCCTCCCCCTGCATTATATTTTAACTATAATTCATGAAATTTAACCCTAGACTAGACTAGAGTGAGGTTGGCCCAAATACTTCCAGAAGTCAGAAATGCTGTGGGAATAAAATCATTACCCTTATCTCCAACATACTCATGCAGATTCCACCCTACTCGACCTGAGACACCTGCACTGAAATGTTCCAACACTCTACACTGAGCCCTTCTAGCATCTTCATGCTACCAAAGAGCATGTTTAGTTTCCAGGACTTTCTTGGAAATACTAATGGACCATGTCACCATGAGACTGAATATTGAAATCATATGAGTCATGTCAGAATCTTAGCAGTGGTGACTGACAAAGTAAATCAAATGAAAGTAAAACTTTGCATTTGTAAATAAACAATGCTTGCATTACACATACTATGAAAAGCAGAACTCAACAAGCCATGTCGGCTGGTAGAGACATCCAGAGGGATCTGGAATTACACTGGGGGGAGGAGTAGAGTGAGAGAAGCCCCCATAAGTAGACATTTCAGAAACAGGAGAGGGCGTGAGAGTTTTGTGTCCAGGAAAGGGGGATGTTTTAAAAATAATGAGCAAAAGGATAGATCTTCTGTCTCAAAGATCTGAATGAACACTTCACCAAAGATGACATTCAGGTGGCAAATAAGCAAATAGGAAGATGCTCGACATCATTAGTCATTAGAGATATACAAACTAAAAACCACAATGACTATCACTACATGCTTTTAGAATGATATAAAAGAAGAGAAAAAGAAAAAAAACTGGAAACCCCAAGCGCTGATAAGGATGAACTCTTATACTTTCCTGGCAGGAATTCACAGTGGTACAGCCACTTTGGAAAAGAGTTTGCTAGTTTCTTATAAAGTTAAATATATACTTGCCGTATAATCAACAACCCACTCTCAGATATATACCCAAATGGGCTGAAAACTTATGCTCCCACAAAACCTATACCTGGATGTTTACAGCAGCCTTGCTCGTAAACTGGAAACAACTCAGATGTCCTTCCACAGACGAATAGATAAGCTGTGGTATCTCCACACCACGGAATACTACTCAATAACAACAAGGAACAAACTGCCGATCCATACAACATGGATAAATCTGAGATTATCTTTTGTGTGGTGAAAGAAGCCAGAACCTAAATGCTACATGTTGTATGATTCCATTTGTATGGCATTGTCAAGAAGGCAAAACTATAAGGACAGTCGGGAGAGGAGAGAGGTTGGGATAGGAGAGGAGTTGATGACGAAGGGGCAACGCAAAGGAATTTTGAGGGTGATAGAACTGTCCTATATATTATTATGGCAGAGAATACGTGACTCTGCATTTGTCAAAATCCATAGAATAGTCTAGAATTCTTTGTCTAGAATGCATTCAAAGAATGAATTTTGGGCAGCCCAGGTGGCTCAGCAGTTTAGCGCTGCCTTCGGTCCAGGGCCTATCCTGGAGACCCAGGATCGAGTCCCACGTCAGGCTCCCTGCATGGAGCCTGCTTCTCCCTCTGCCTGTATCTCTGTCTCTCTCTGTGTGTGTGTCTCTATGAATAAATAAATAAAATCTTAAAAAAAAAACAAAGAATGAATTTTATTACGTGCAAGTAAAGAAAAAATCAACCAGATTGTCAGAGGCCCCAGATGGAATGTAGACTGTGGCAAATGATCGAAATAGTATTATAAATGAATGATATGAGCATGGTTACAGGGGTGGGGAAGAAAGGAAACAATTTAAGAAACTCTGCAAATAGTGTTTTGAGTGGATATAGCGAGGCTAAAGACAAAAAAAAATGACTTGTATACAAAACTATAGTATACTCCAGTGAGCAAATATGTCTCTTACAGGCTATGGGTCAGCAATTTTGAAACTACTTTACCTTCATGCCAGAGTTGAACAAGGTAAATATAGCATAGATAATGAGAGCCAGGTTTCTTCTTGTTGGGGGAAGAAGTAGTATGCAAAGGGCCAACCTGTGGTGCTGGATTGCGTTGTTGGCATCCATATGAACTCGTGTGTGGTATGTTTGTATGCTTTTAATATATATTTAGACAGATAAGGGATTCTTGACTTTGACACTATTGACATTTTGGGCTGGAGAATTCTTTTTTTACTTGTGCCTGTGCATTGTGGGATGTTTGGCAGCATCCCCAACTTTTACCCACTAGATCCCACTAGTAGCACCCTCCCCTTGAGTTGTGATGC